TAAAACATGCTTAATCCCAATGCTTGAATACGACGATTCAAGCACTGGGTGTAGTGGAAGAAACATCCCGAATGTTGCGCGTTCGGAAACTAAAAGAAGTAAAAATGTAATAAAACCAGATCGATGTGAAAGTTATTGCTTACATATGAAGCAATTGTCTTGATAAGAGCTTGCTCGAAGTCGGACATGATTTTGTTCGGATTAAATTTGCAATTAAGACTTTGAGCTGCTGCATCCAATATCTCAAAGACATGTTTGTATATTGAAGCAGTTCTACCAGGCAACAAACCGATAACACATGGAAAATCTTTAAGGAAAAGTAGTTCATTGTTAAAGAGGTATTTCAAAAAACTGGAATTGACTTACTGTATCCATACTTGATGCAATGCAACGAAAACACTTGATTGAAGTGTGGTACACATGCCGAAAATGTTCCATCGATCATAATGGTTTTTGCTGAAAAAAGCATACGCAATTGCTCATCTGTTGCAAACAACAACACCCGCTTCTTTCGAACAACTTTGTCACTGAATAAAAAATGTGCACCACTGATTGTCGTTGAATAGGCATCGGGAACATCGAAACAAGATGATGTTGGCAATGGTGGTGTTGTTTGTCGTCGTAAACGATTAAGCGATGCTTCTAAAGTTTAAAAAAATGAACAAACAGGACATGAAAAACGAAAATACTAACTTGCGTCGTCAGCCAAAGGAATTAAACCTAGAGCACCATCACTCAGATTAAGAGAAGCCATTTCCTTGTCGTAAATGTTTCCAATCGCCGTTGTTTCTTTCACAACTCGTTCTTTCACCTTCTCTTTAAACATTGCAACTTCGACTTGTTCAGGCACTGGTAAATGAAAATTATGATCACCGGATTTTCCAACATATTGATTGTTGTGATTTGTATGAATATAAGCTGAACAAGTTCGATCTTTGCATCGCCAGTACTTCAACTTTGACCGTGTACGGTTTAATTGAAAAATGAATCCATCACATATTAAGATCGGTTTACGTTTGTTGCTGATCGAAAAGCTAAGACTAGGAACAGTTGACATATCACGAAAAATATGCTACTAGAACGAAATGAAGAAGATAAAATGTGTTGAATACACTAACATGATGTTAATGCACAAATGACGAGTGTTTATATATGAGAGAAGGGCGAGAATTACCTCGAACGAAAAAGAAACAAGGGAAATCATCTAGAATGTTCTCGTCTATACTGTACAAAGAGATTACTAAAGAACGAGAAGCAAAGAATATTTCGTTAAGGACATTTCACTATAAATTCGAAAAAAATCGTATTTAGTTACGTCCAGGCCAACACGCATAAAGAAAATGCGCAAACAGAAAAAAAAATAGATGACAACATATGCTACGCGAGTTTTCTATATCATGATAGAATTGTCGACATTTTTTTACACGTCGGCATTTTACCTGTCGACATTTTATCTCTCGACATTTTATCTGTCGACATTTTTTTTGTCGACGTTTTGTTGTCGACATTTTTACTTGTCGATGTTTTGTTTTCGACATTTGTCTACTAAATCGACTATAGCTGTATGGCCGTGGGTGTGACTGTGACTGTGCTTCTGGATATCGCTCTTGGTGGATATAACATCTATTCTCACACGCACCGCACACTCATACCACCACCCACAGCCACACCCTCCTTAAGTTACAGATTGGTTTGAGGGTGTGGGTGTAGGTGTGTGCATTTGTGAGAATATGTGTGTGTCTTTTTGTGAGTTTGGGTGTGGGTGGCTCTGGGTGCATCTGTGCGTGGGCGTATGGCTATGCGTGTGGTTATGACTGTGGGGGCGGGTGTGGGTGGGTGCTGTGGATGTTCTTTTCGTTCGTACCGAAACGTACACCGCCACCCAGACCCAGACCCAGACCTAGACCCACCCACACCCACCCACACCCCACCCACACCCACACCCCACCCACACCCCCACCCACACCCACACCCTCAAGATAAGGCTTGAGAGTGTGACTTTGAATGTTGGTATGAATGTCGCTTTGGTGAAAATATGGTTGGAGGATGGAATCAATAGAGGATCATATAAACAAATGATGTGACTCATGCTCTTTGCTTTCATTGGAAAGTTTTTTTAGTCCCTCCCTCACATCTATCAATGTTTTGATGCACTTGAAGCAAGAAAAACATTTTTGTTGATTTTTCAGCAGGTTTTTTCTCACATGTTCTGCATATAAGTAACACAGAATAAAAACAAAGTCACTGAAAACGAATCGAACAAGTTAACGACGATGTGAAGCTTAGTTTATGAGATTGTTGTTGAGCTTCATAGTGCTACTCCTGTGTGTAGGTGTGGATATGAGTGTTATGAATACGCACATCTATGACCTACCTCAATCCTATTTTCCACTCTCATTTCAATATTCACCCACACACAGTTCCCTGGTGTTCGTGTTCAGAAGAACCGATACACTGCTCCATTCTGATTACTACGAGCTGGGAGAATGCGTGTACGGTTGCGGGCATATGCCATAAAAGACTAATGACCCCACCAACACTATCTTCACCCTCACATTACTTTCCAATTTATACCCAAATCCTTTCGATGTTAATCGTTATCAGACTTTGTCTTTCTCTCTTTTTTTTAGATACAGTGGTCTTATCAAAACCATTGACTTTTATTGCAAAAAAACGGGTATGTCTGTTTTTTTTCAATGGTTTCCTGTGTCGAACGTAAAGCAGTATGAGACCTGTATTACAGATGAGGTTACTTGGAAGAAAACAATTTATTATGCAACAGATGTACATTTCACAAGAACTAATTTGACAAATGGAAAGTGGTATCGTGCCCAAGTGATGGCAATAGGTGAAAATAGACAAAGTGAACCTTTGGTTTCTTCGAAAGTAACGTCGGCGGCGGACCAGTCTTTGTGCTAGAATTCTGAGTAAAAAAGTGTTTTTCATTGACACAACGTCAGTGAATCCTAGTACTTCACTGCAATCAGCTGTTTTACTTGAATCGAGCCTCTGCTACGACTTCTACGTTAGTAGCCGCAACACCAACAAGATAATAAGTAAAGGATTTTGTAGACAATTTATCGGTTTCGTTAATTAAAAACTTCATAGCAACACCTAAAGTATAATCTAAACCTCCGTTAGATAAAAAAAAGTAGGAGTTTCTACAAAAGATTCAGAGGCTCGTCTCTATACAATTGCATCATTGCAACAATCAATAATCAGTATAAATTAGAAAATCAATGACTTATGTCACCGAATCGCTCCTCATCTTGGGGGTGTAGGGGTGGATATGAATCTGGATCGAGGTGGAGGTAGGAGTACACCCACACGCTTTTTAACAGCGTTGGGTACTCGTAGACTGGTAGATTCATTAAGTAAGCCTCTTCTATAAAATATGGAAATTTTGAATTATTTTGTAATTCATTTGTGTCATGAACTCGTAATAGTGTGTAAGAGTCATCTCTTCTCGATTGGCTGTTATTATTTCGGCAGAATCATTGAGCTTAAATAGTAGTAAAAAATTTTTGTAATTCATCGTGAGAAGAGTTTTCTATGCAATATTAAGCTACGAACTATTTTACTGGTGAAGAAGCAGGCTTTTAAAACGATTGATTAAGGTCCAATATGATCTTTTTTTATTATAATTATCAACTGTGAATATAAATGACTACAATTTGTTTGCTAAGTAAAATTGTATATATGCTCGGTGAATAACATTTGAATGTTAAGTGAACTTTCTTGAATGCTCAGTTACGTCAAATTTTCTTAGTAATAGAAATATTTGCAAAGTTTATTAATCGATTTGTACGTAAAATAATTTTTCGTGAAATTGGTTTATTGAAATTATGGTTAGAAAAAAAACTTTAATAAGTGAAAATTTTTACTCACAAGTAATTTGTAATTAAGACAAAAAAGATTATCTAAGATAAAATGAAGATTTATTTTTCCGATATGGCGTCATGATATGAAGAATACAACAGCTTTACATCAAACATTTAGAGAACGAAAAATGAACTGATGCATGTCATTTTGTCGAGTCAATAACATCATTATTATAAATATCATCTAAATCAAAAGGTTTTAATGATTATATATATCAGATGACGAAGCAACAAAGTATCACAAGAAATGATATCCAAATATACAAAAGAAAAGTGGCTTTAGTATGTAATGCATCAAAATGGAAAAATAGACTTTGAAATCATCCAAGTTTCTCCAAAGTGTATGGTTGCAAGCATATAATCCCAATAGCCAAGAAGTTGAAATTTCGCAAACTGCTTTCAGCAGCAAAAGATATACCTTTATATGTGGAAAAAAAGAAAACAAGGACGACTACAAAAAACAGCCAAAGTGCTATTGATACGATAACTGTATAGTAAATTTTTTTTACTTATGTATTATTGTCTTTTTACTTAAAAACTGTATATTGACTTATTGATCTACAATGTTTTATCTAGAAAATTAAACTTTCTTATTTAAAGTTTAAATAAAAAAATTATCAAAAATGCTTTTTCTTTTTTTTTAGTTAGGACCATTCCAATAGATTACTTAGTAAAATTTGGACATTTCACTTAGTTTTCATTAAATATTACTTTACATTTAAATGGGAGCCAGTACAAGTGCTGATCGACCGATTCATGTTCCGATTCATGTTCGCAAAGGTGATTTGACAAAAGAACGAGTAAGTTTATACTTAAAAAAAATGTCGATGAAATCGAAAGACTCTGCATTTGCTTCAGACTGATGTTGTTGTCGTGTGTTCGTCATCAATAGGCTTGCTTGTAAGTGTATTACAAGCAGGTGGAAATGCTGTAATGACTTCATACAACATTGAGTTCAGAAAAAATTCAGCAAATGTCATTGCAGTTGCAGCTAGTGGACAACTGCTAGCAAAAGCAATTTATTTTGTTCCATGGGAACCCGATTCTGATGAAACACTACTCTGTAAATCATTGAAAAAACTCGTTTCAAATGCAATTGAAAAAGCAGTGAATGATAATTATAAGAGTATCGCATTTTCGGCTATTGGTTGTGGTCAGTTCGGCTGTTCGATCAGTCTTGTTGCTAAAACTTTAATTGGAGAAGCTTATCAATTGCGAACTTTGCATCCAATTGCCGTTTCCTTTATAATACAACCACATAGAACAGATATTTATGATGAGTTTCAAAAACAAATTGACTTATTAGATCCATTAAAACCATCCGAACAATTAGAACCATTAGAACGAACTCCAGAAATACCAACAGTATCTGTTCCAATTGGAAATGGAATGATTATAGTGGAAAAGGGAAATATAACAACGCAAAAAGTAGGAAGCTAAGAACATTGAAGAGTACAAAACATATTTTATGTTCTACTATTCTTTTAATAGGTTGATGCTATTATTGGAAACCCACCATCAATAGCCTTACACCATACGATAATCGAAGCAGCTGGTGATGAAGTTGAAACTGCGTATGGAATTGAATATGGACGCAATCCAAATTCGATCCTGATCTCAACTCCACCCGGTAAATTATCTTGCCAGCGAATCTTTTTCCTTAAATGGGAACCAGATGCAGATGACTCTATACTTCGACAATCGATCATCGATTTCATATGGAATATTATCCAGAATGTTATCTCCTATAATTACACATCAATTGCATGTCCAGCCTTTGGATGTGGAGGATATGGCTGTTCAGTAGATATTGTAGTCAAGACAATGGTTCAAGAAATTAAAAATCAATTGAAAACAAGAAATTTATCATTGACAGTCAAGTTTGTTATTCGCCCTGAACAACAAAATATTTATGATGAATTTTGTAAGCAAGTCTTGGCATCCGAAGAAGGTAAAACCTTCGATTGCTTCTGAGATTATCATATGCCATTTGAATTTCATTAATTGATTGAGTAGGATGAAAAAAAAATTTTAAAGTTGAATATTTTAATAATCGATTCAGGATTTTTTTAAAGAAATATGAAGCTGAGATAGACTTTGATGAACATCGTAGAATAAGCTACTCGATTTGTATCACTGGAATGAATCTATTCCATGAGACTAAAACGTGTCAGGAAACAATTGTCCGTTTGACAGAGGAATTCATCGAATGGTCATAAATTTGTTTAGAGGTTTTCAGAATATCGCTTGAAGGTCAACTACCAATAACATGGAACAAATCAACAAGCAATCAATTACGGTTTGTGGTACCGACTAACACAGATGAATACAAGTCTGTTTTCAAACCGTTCGATAAGGCAATGAAAGAAAGATATACTCAAATAGTAAAAATCGAACGTATTCAAAATGAGCGATGGCTTTTACAATATTTGGCGCATAGCCGAGATTTTAAAAAAAGACTCACAATAGATACTGAAAAACGTTTATATCACGGATGTCCTGAAAAAGCAGCCAATTCAATTATCGAGGACTGTTTTAATAGAAGTTTTGCTGGAGTGAACGGTAAGTTTTGTTTATTTCTTTTCAAAACAAATTCTTTTGCATACTTCTCTCTTCTAGGAACGGCATATGGTGTTGGTGTTTATTTTTCATCAAATATAGTATATAGTCATAATTATGCTCAACCGAATGCCAATGGAGAACGCTGTATGTTTGTTTCGCGCGTTCTAATTGGGAAAACGACTAAGGGGAATAGTTCAATGAGAACTCGACCTGTAGGATTCGATTCAACAACTGATGGGAATCATATTTACGTCACTTATCATGATGCACAAGCGCTCGCCGAATATTTAATAACTTATAAGTAGAGTTCAATAATTATTGTTTGAAGTTAGTGTAAAAAGAAGTGCTCTTGACTTCTACAAAATACAATTGAAATTAATATAGAATCTTATAATTTTCTCAAAAGAAAAAACAACGAACTTTTATGGAAACTTCTCAATAAAAACATCCGAACTTGTTTTATTCAAAAAAATACTTTCAATATATGCTCGAGATTCGTTGCTTTTCTTAAACAAAAAACAACGGAGTACTCCTAAAGCATGTTCACCTTCTTTATCCACACGATCTAATCACCATTTTCTAAAGAAAGAAAATTCATTTTGACGAGTACTTCCTGAGCAAACCTTTTTGAATTGTAGTCTAGCTTCTTCTTAAATGCATTTCTAAATATCGTTAAGGTTTGTCTTTATTTAAAAGTAGAAGTGGCCATTTATCTTTAACATGATTTGATTCACAGTCAAAAGAAATCAAAATTTTGTTCGATTCCTTAGAGCACATCGGGAAGTTCAATGTAGAGAGTGTAGATGGGAGTCTGTTTCAGTCTTCTCTTCATTCACATACACACTCACATCCTTCTTTATAGAAGATGTCATATGTTTTATTAGAAAATAAGAAAAGTATCAGAATATAATCTTCTTTATTAGTTTTGACGTAATCAGAGACAATTTTCTGTATTGGATACTTTCTTTCATTTAAATATTTTTGAATCTCGCATGATTATTTTGGTTTCCGTATATATATGGATTTGATGAACATTGTTGTAAAGTTCATTGAATTTTATCACGTCAAAACTTTCGAACTTTTGTTTAATAATTTGTTGCACTTTTTACTTTCAAGTTGGTCAAAATTTAGAGCAATAAGATGTTGACTGTGCGAAAATTGATCGCAGAGAATTTTGCTTTTTTTTACAAAACAATTACAATAAGCTGTCTCGTGTAAAATGTAGAGCTTTTCTCGCTGCATTTTGTGATATATTTTGTTATTTTTTAAATAGAAGATATCAGGTGATAATAAGATGAAATAAGAGAAAACTAATCCATCTTGTAGAAAAAAAAATATCTTTTTCGCACGGTCAAAATTTGATCGCTGCAAATTTTGACTATTTTGAAAGTAAAAAGTGCAACTGTAGGAAAAGCTGTCTTGTATAAATTGTAGAGCTTTTTACTTTGTATCCTGTGGTATATATTTTTGTTTTTTTTATTACAATGTATTAAGTTGTGAAAAAATGAAATGCAAAAGTGGACCATTTATCATGCGCCACCCGTTATTTTGGTGATACTGATAATATAGATCTGCATATTTTTTCACTGACTTCCTGTATTAATTTAATTAAGTCTTTTTGTTTCTAATCATCTCGTTGGCTTGTTTTCCAAGAGTTACATTCAGATTGAATTTCTGTAAGTTATAAATATGATCTTCGAATAAAAATAGATTTACTGTACTTTAAAGTCAAGATCGGAAATTAAAAAAATATAAAAATCATTACAGTAGACCATTATAATTGCATTCAAGGTACACTCAATACTACTTTCACAGAAATTGATTCAAGTTTGATGACACAGCTTTATCAGAATAACATTATTTATTTACTTTGTTCGTCAGCAATACGTTGAATTTTCATAGGAAAAGCAAAATGATGGTTTTCGTGAAACATGGTTTACACCATCATTTTAACATATATGAGAAATATTCGAACAATTGATAATCTAAAAACCCTACCCATGGACAGTAATGTCATGTAACCTCTTCATAGCTCAATAAGACCTTCTTGTGAGAAAAATATTTGTTCGAAAAGATACTGACATTTAGGAATGTTCTCTTATCATTAATATTCTTATTTCAGCACTCTTACCAATCAGTCTATATCTATCTAAGAAATATTAAGTGAGCAACGGATAATTACATAAGAATACAATACAAACCTTGTTGAATGTTAGAGAGTGTGGGTCGGGTTTAGGCGTGGGTGTGTGTAGGTATGGGTGTGTGCGTAGGTGTGGGTGGGTGGGTGTGGGTGTAGATGTGTGCGTAGGTGTGGGTGTCGGTGGGTGTGGGTGTAGGTGTGGGTGTGGGCAGCTGTGGATCTTCTTTTCATTTCTACACTCAACCACATCCACACCCACACCCACACCCACACCCACACCCACCCACACCCATCCACACCCACACACCCACACCCTTATTCAATTGAAATGATTCTTACTTTATGTCGACGCTGTCAACGTCGATATTTCTTTATTAATAACCACATCTCAGATGATATGGAGGAAGAATCTAGAAGAAAAAAATGTTGAAAAAA